AGAACTAAGATACATCATATACAGGTACAAGCACCCAATGATAAATGTAAATGTATTGTATACCTAAAATGTACCAATTAATACATAAATAAAAAAATAGTTATAGCACCTATAAGTGGTTTTTTTTTCTTGCTATAATTATAGTAATAGTAGCATGTTAAATTTAATTTTAGTTTACCAAAATATTTCATATAACTATTTCTTACTTGAGCCTTTATTATAACCCCTTAAGGACAGAGTATGCGGGGTTCTTTCTATTTCATAGCACTTGTAGTGTTTGGCTCTTGTGAATATTCACTAAATATTAGTTCAATAAACAATGAAAAGGAAGAAAATATTTGTTAAGGTTTATTTTTCTCGGACTATATACTTTGTTAGCATTAGAGTTGAGGCCTCTTGATTCTAGTGTCACGGCCTTTTCTTCTTCATTGGTTTCTGGGTATGCTTTGTATTACTGCTCATTGTAAACCGAACAGTAATTTCTATGCTTGGATGTAATTCTTTTGCATTGCTTCTACCATTCAATGATTCTATTGTCATACTGTCTTCTCCATTAGAGATAATTACTAGTTAGGATCAGTTTTTCCTTTGGTCTTTAATTGATACTACTTTTTTGAATGTTACTTTCAGTGTCTTTCTTAAAATAATTGTATGAACAATTTTGGAAATACAAATAAAAACAGTTTAAGTTATTATAAAACCCTGAAATACATGAGGATAAAGTTGACAAAAAGTATGTGCAAAGAAAACTACAAAACATTGTTAAGAGAAATTATAGAAGACCTAAGTAAAGAAGGAGCTATACTCTGTTCACAGATCAGAAGATTCTTTTTAAAATGTTGAGTCTTTCCAAATTTATCTATATTCAGTGTGATTCCAATTAAAATTCAGGGGAATCTTCTTTGTTTTGTGAAAACTAAAAATGATTCAAAATTTATATGAAATTGTAAAGAATCTAGAAAGCTAATATAATTTGAAACACTTTAAAAATAAAAAGCTGGAGATCTCACAGTATATAATTTCAAGATTTATTACAATGCCACAGCAATCAAGGCTGCATTAGACTGCCATCAGTGGACAAATGAACCAATGGAATAAAGGAGAGTTGAGAAATAGACCTCCACATCTACGTTAACTTATTTTCAAAAGAGTTGCCAAACTAATTCAGTAAGAGAAAATTAGTCATTTAAACAAATTGCAATAGAAAAATTCAGTATCTACATGAAAAAAGTAAAGATTGGCTCTTACATTAGACTGTACATAAAAATTAATGTGAAATTGATCACTGACCTAAGCCTAAGAGCTAAAACTATACAAAATATGGAAGAGGGCCATGCATGGTGGTGCACATCTGTAAACCCAGCAATTTGGGAGACTGAGGCAGAAAGATTGCAAACTCAAGCCCAACCTGAGTGATAAGTCACCTGAGTGACACCCTGTCTCAAAAAAAAGAATAAAAAAACTGGCTGGCCAATACTGTGGTTCAATTCCCAGGACTAGCACAAAAGAAAACAAAACAAACAAAAAACAATTACAGAAGAAAACACAGAAAAATCTCATAGAAAATTTTTATAACCTTGGGTTAGGCAAAGATTTTTTAAGATAAATAAGAAAATGATAATTTTGAGTTCATCACAATTTAAAGTTTGTGCTCATTTTAGCAGCATATATACTAAAATTTTAATGATACAGAGAAGATTAACATGGCTCCTATACAAAAGAAAACTGCAGACTGAGGGAAAGTGTATGTAAACTATTTATAAAAATGAACTTTCATTCAGAATATATAACTCATTATAAGATGACAAATAAAAATTGACTTAAATATTGAAACAGACACTTCACCAAAGAAAAAGTGTGAATTATCAATGAACAAATGAAAATTTACTCAAGATCATTAGTCATCAGAGAAATGCAAATTAAAATTACAATGAAATAGCACTGACTAAAATGAATGAACTTAAACACCAATACCAAGCATTGGGAAAGATGTGGAACAGGTAAAACTGACATATACTGTTGCTAGAAATGATATCTATTATAGCCACTTGATAAACTTTCTCATAAATTTAAATACACGATTACTATGTGATTCATTTCTAGATGTCTGCTTAAAGAAAATAAAGATATATGTTCACGCAAAGACCTTTACACAGATGATCATAGTAGCTTTGTTCATAATAGTCAACAACATGGAAACCATTCTTCTGTCCATCAACTGATGAAAGAAGTGCCACTCAACAATAAAAAGGATTACTTACAGATCTAATAGGATGGAAGAATTTCAAAAGATCTATGCTAAATTAAAGAAGTAGATGGTCTGATTACCAGAGGCTAGGGGTAAAGGAAAAAGTATGAGGAAAGATTCTGGACTAATGGAAATGTTCTTTACCTTGTTTGTGGTGGATACAACTATAAACATTTGTTAATTCATTGAACTGTAATTATAATGGGTGATTTTTAAATTATACATCACAATAACATTTTGTAGTATGAATTTGTACATGAGTATGAAAGAGTGTGTGTCAAATCTATATGAAGCTAATCTTGTAGAGTTTATAACTATAGGTTTATAAAAAGAATGTAAATTTAGATTTCTGCCTCTGACCTGACTTGCTTCTGGTATTAGGCAATAAAGTAATCACATCTCACTTATGCAGGTCCTATTTCTCATCATTATTAAAGCAACTGTAAGATCAGGATATAACATGGTATGTCTTCATGCCATTTACATTCCTGTTTGAATCAGTAAGACAAGTGAATGAATTAGTTTTATATTCAGCGGTACAAGAAGGCATTAATAAAGACAATGTTATTTAAATAAAATATAAGTATAAACAGCTTTTGGAAAACACTAATACAACAATATTTCTGTTTTGGATATAACATTTTGCTTTTACCAATTTCCACAATTAAATTCAAGTAATCAAGTTATCAAAATTCAGCTATTAACTTTTTGTTAATACACTGTGCTGTAGATAGATGACTCAAACATATATATGCTGTACATTAAAATGAGCAGTCTTCCAAGAGATTTTTCTAAGGAATACTGAAATTTGAATATGTTAAAATTAAGAAACAAAAGTATTTGTTTTATCTTTGCTAACTGATTAGATATTATGGAGCACTTTATTGAGGAAAAGTGTGTGTGTGTGTGTGTGTGTGTGTGTGTGTGTGTGTGTTTTGGTGGCACCTAACCTAGACATCTGTATGTATAGGTTCATAGGTAGTGGTTATAAGTATGTGTGGGTGGAAATGA